ACTAAGTTGCAGAAATTATTTAAAGGGATCTTTTGATCATGAAAATACTAATTAATAATGAGTTAGTATTAGTGAATATTCCCACTAATGGGGAAGAACAAAAATATAGCGAGGCTGAAAAATGCATGACAATTTAAATGAGTCTGATAACATCTACTCGGTTCAGTTCAAATTTTTGCTAATTTGTGGTGCACTGCGTGAATACTGCTTTTAAATATTGTATTTTTTCTAATTTGGTTGTAAGGTTTTGTGTGTTATAAACATAACGTTAAATCATAGAATCCTAGAATGGTTTGGGTTGGAAAGGATCTTAAAGATCGTCTAGTTCCAACTCCTCAGCCACGGGCAGGGACACCTTCACTAGACCAGGTAATAATAGAGGTAAATGTGAGAATGGCACTGAGGAATCAGTCTCTCTGATCTGGGAGTGATTATTTACACAGCTTGTAGCATCTGGAAGTCCTTACCACTGAGTTGTTTGCGGACACGTGTAGCATAACACTTGTAATCTCGTACTAATGTGGGGTGGGACTGTGACCCCATCAGAATAATGTCTTATTCGTACCTGTGTTGGCGATCTCAGCAAGGTTGTGCATCTCAATAGGGCTGGATTTGTAGCTGCTTTCTGGAGCTTCCAGACCTGTAGCTGCTCTCTGGTGGAGGGGGTGCTGGCATGTGGGAGCTAACCAAACCCAACCAGAGCTGTACCCTTCTTAGGTGTATGTATTCAGGGTTGCAGTTTCCTCCATTATCGCTTCATACACCTGTTTTTCTAAAATGCACGTAGTTAATTTCTTGAACTAAATACATGTAAATCCCTTCACCAAGTATTTATGGAAATACCCAAGAGCAGGGTCTGTTTCAAAATCTTTACTACTCTATATAGAGAAAATATGCTGTATTTGACACAACGCTTCCCTTTGCTAACTTGAAACGTGAAAGAAGAGATGGGAAATTCTGCGATGCGTCTCTTGAGGATTTGTCTGATCGTGTTTACAATTGGTGTGTCACACCGACCCAGCGTTCACCCTGGGTCAGAGTCTTTCCTTTAATGGCTTCTGTTCCACTGGCCACGTTCCTGTTTGGCATCGTAGCGTATTTTAGAACACGGATTTCTTTTTAGAGACATGAAACATCTTTGGGCTCTTAGTTCTAAGTAGAGACTGTTGTAAGTAAAAATGGATGCAAATGTAGTTGGTTCTGCAAAATAGCATTTGTGTTTTGAAATGAACTGGCATTGTGTGGTGTTCAAAACTCTTACATTCGCTTTCTATGAGTATTTGTGCAATTGGGATTTACTCGCAAAATTGAGGTGGAAGGGAATTTTTAAGCATGAATGTCAAATCACAGAGTACATCTTCAGCTAAAAAGAAAACAGCTGGTGGTGTAAAGATACCATAACAATGCCTTTACATGTGCTGAAACTGGCATATGGCCGGAAGCCTTGGGTGCCACCAAAGGTTTTATTAATCCGTTGGAGCTATTGACAGGTGGTGCAGTTCAAGACATCCCTTAAGATTTGAAGCTCTGTGCACGAGCAACAAAGAGGAGTTTAGCTGCTGCACTTTGCAGCAGATGTGACCTGTTGTGGGATGCCCTATGTCATTGGAAATGCAAAGATGCACTGAAGTCATCTTGGGTTGTTCGCTCCTCGGCATACTAAATGCCTTTCTAAAGTATTTCAGAATCTGAGCTATAAAGTAATTTAAATTCAGAAAGGAAGATAATAAAATAATAGATGATAGAAAAAATCTCTACATAGTATAGACTGTTCCAAAGACCATGAAAGACTTTATCAAATACCTTTTACAGGAGAATTCATTTGTGTTACCACAGGGAACAATTGTGATCCTCACATCTAGACAGTAATAAAATCTGAAAATGTTTCTCCTCCTCCTCAGATCCACAATATTTTGATGCTGAAGCTTGCCCCAAATTGATCATTATTACTCTTTAGTTTATTCTCCTGCCCATCTCCCTGACCATTCCTGCTCCTGTTTATTGCTTCTCTTTTCTTTCCACTGATTCCTGTTTAGTCAAGTCCAGATACCAAGGGAAGGTCCTATGTAGATCACCTGCTGGAGGACTAAGGAAAATTTGGTCCAACATTGACTCTCAACAAGTAAAAAATATGCGCCAGGCTGGCTTCCCTGCTTGCCTTTCCACCTAGTGCTGGAAATAAAATTTTGGCATAAGAGTCTCAAAGGATTTGAGTAATCTCTTTATTTGCATGAGTTTGTATTTTTAATGTTACAGCTTCAGGGCAGCCAATGACAGGCTTGAATGTTTGACCTCTCAGTCTCAAAAGTAAACTGTTAGCCATTTAAAAAGAAAGCTTGTGCTGGAAAAAAAAAGCAAATCCAAAATTCAAGTTAGAAACACAATGAAAATCTGTTGGTTCCAATTCGGCAAGTGCTTTACAGTTTACTGTCCTGTATAGCCCGTAAATCTATTCACTGAAGATAGCTCCTACCCAACAGTTAACTAATTAAGTATAGCCAAACACAGCACTGAGTTCTATTCTTACCTTTTGAGCCTCCTGTCTCTGTCTTAGAGTAAAACCTTGTCCATGGGAGGCAAACCAGAACTTCAGATCACAGCAATGGCAAAACAGCTGATGGACAAGTGTAAAACTATAGCCCAGCTCTCGGATTTGCTTTGAATTTACATTTACATTGAATTTACCATTTTAGGTATCAAAAGTGTCTTAAAAAGTTGTCTTAGATCTGAAAACAGGTCTAAGACTTTTAAAGTGGAAGTGCTAAATGAATTATCAGTAGCATCTGGGTAGTTTTCCACATTGAACCAACTCAGCAGCTTGAAAAGAAGGAGGATGCTATGGTTTGGCACAGCTACGTTGAATTTGGTTTGCCCTTAGAACTTCCCCAGACCATGTGAATTAGCAGGAGGGCTACCGAGATTAAGTTCCTGCTATTTACAAGTTTGAGTTTGAGAAAGAAGAGAGAGTGCATTTTTCCACTCCTGACAGGAAAAAAACCCACAACAAACCGAAAACCAAACGTGGATTTTAAGACCTAGTGGAAAAGGTTTAAATTTGTGGCGGTTTTTGAATACCACTAAGGAATAAGCTTCCATCTTTCCGTGACCTACTGTACATCACCTCAGAAGAGCAAAGTTGTACTAGGTGCCTTCTGCTCTGGCACCTATCTACGTACTCTGTCTTTACTATTTATCCAGTAATATCCTATGGCCTTCAAAATTTGAAATGCAACAAAGCATTCTGCCAAGAGGCAATTGTCTGCATGCCATTTTGTGTAAGTTTATTAAACTAAATGCAAACACGTACATCAAGTTTGGGGAAATATTTTCTGCAGCTAAATTGGTGCGTTTCCAGCAAATGCTGAGAATTTGAGGCTGGAGAATGAAGGATATAAGCCTGTTTGTTAATGCAGTTTCACAGTGAAGGTGTTAGAATTAGCAGAGAAAGAAAGGGAGAGAGAAAATTGCGGAAAAGCTTCATCTATCTCCTTATTGCCTCCTGAGATAGATTGTTCAGAGCTAAAGGAACACTAGACATGAACCAAATCTCCTGCTGTCCTATATAGCTTTTACAATCTCCTTTTTAATAACCCAAACTGCAGGGTAGTCTGACTATTAGACAAGCCGTTCTTTTGAATTCTCTCTACAATGTGTATAGACATGATAAAAAAAACAATTCTCATTAAAGCTGCCAATGCTGTTTCAAAAGCAGGTGGTTTAAAATGTTTCCTATACAAAGCAAAACACATTTCTTGTGCATTACACACTGCTTAATAGGGAGTGTAAGATTACGCCGCTATGTTGTGTATAACACTGCATCTTAATAGGATATTGTAAGTTGTGTTGGAAATATGTTTAACAGGAATATGGAAGATATGATGATACGCAGTGAGCTATTTTCTGAAGTGCTGGAACATAGCCTTGTGTGACAACCTCTGAGCTGAAGTAGTTGAAAATAGGATCTGGAATTTGCCATTATACCGTCTCTGATCCTAACTGATTATTTTTCTAGGATATTGTTCAGTCAGCATTCTACTGTCAGATTTCTGCTGTCCTATGGGAACATTTATTGTTTATGTTATAAATTAAGGATGGTAGGGATTGAGTGCATTCATCATGCATTTCAGTTTTCACTAAAGTCAATAGTTTAGAAGGAATGCAGGATTGGCCTGAAGTAAAAATCATGATATACAGCTCCATCCCTGAACTGTCTGTTCATATCCTTTTCCCAATCAGTTTTGAAAAAAAACGCTGAGGTCCACTTATACTTATGTGCAAATTCAGAGTTTGCCATTCACTTCAGTGAGAGTGGATTTCGGTCCTTCGTCGATGTGAACTTTTCACTCTGTAGGTGTTTTTCATTAGCAGTCAGAAACTTGTGGAGTAAGAAAACCATATAAAGCATGGTAATTCAGGTTATTGTGAATAAGCACAGTCATTCATGTTACCCTTACAAATATATTCCATTTGCCTCAATGTTTTAATCAGAAGCTGTACTTTAAAATGAGCAAAAAAAGTTTCTGTGTAATATAATCTGCTTTTAATGAAATAAAATGCATTTGAGTCTTCAGTATGCCTGCCTATCTTAATTTCACTATCTTCTGCTTTACGAAATAATTACTTTTGTTTTGATAAATCAACTTGTGCAAACAAGGTGAAAATTGATTATGAGCTGATTAAGTTAAATAAAATATCAACATAAACACTTACGTAATGTAGCCTGGCAGCAAAGTGCTTATTCTTAAAAAGGTGAATTTTAAAGATGTATTTTCTGAGAGTCCTGTTTCTTCTGAAAAACCTCTATAAATTCAGTAGGTGACATTATAGATAATCCAGTAATCAGTGTTTCACCCACCATTTCATGGACCCATAAACTACTGCAGTTTTACTTACATGACTCTAGCAACTATTAATGTATGTAAATAACTTGTGAAACATCTAGTTATCACTCTGCTCATATTAGCTCTTTCATACTAATGATTTATTTTCATTTTCTCCAGGATATAGACCTGCGGCTAACTGGATTTGATTTATAAGAGGGGATTCTGCAGTAAATGGCTGCTCTCTTCATATTGCTGCTATGGAAAACAGAATTGTCAATAGGATGTAGTCTGATAAATAGTGCTGAGTGAAGATGCAGCTTCAATAAGTGTGAAATCAATGGAAGATACTTACCGCATGAAAAGCCTTTTGAGATTTTTCTGACAGGCACCTATTTAGGAAACTTGATCTGTTTCCTTCGGCTGCCCTGTTTTTACACCAGTGGATACAAATCAGATTGCTTCACTGTAGTTACACAACTAATGTGGGACCATGGCCTTTCCAAGATCCATGTGGCTGAACTGTGTATGGAGAGCAATGGTAGTCCGCCTGTTACACATGGGATTGAATGCCACTTTTGCTTTTTGTATACTTGGATTTTTGCTTCACGCTGCAGCTGTGTCCTCCCAAAAATTGGATGATACCAACCCAGTGGTGACCACCAACTTTGGCAAGATAAGAGGGATTAAGAAGGAACTTAATAATGAAATTTTGGGGCCCGTTATTCAGTTTCTTGGGGTTCCGTATGCTGCCCCTCCAACAGGGGAGCGCCGCTTTCAACCTCCTGAGCCTCCGTCTCCCTGGGCAGATATCAAAAATACCACTCAGTTTGCTCCAGTGTGCCCCCAGAACATTATAGAAGGCAGGTTGCCTGAAGTCATGCTTCCCGTGTGGTTTACTAATAACTTGGATGTAGTTTCCACCTATGTACAAGATCAGAATGAAGACTGCCTCTATTTAAATATCTATGTCCCAACCGAGGATGGTGAGTTAATAGCAGGCGAAACAGGGAGATCTTTTTATTTTCCTGTTCTACGTTCTAACAATATTAATTCACGTGTACTGGTAGCACGCATGGCTTCCTTTGTTTGCATGCCAGCCTATTACATGTATGCATGCTGCTTTTCTGTGTATGCATCTGTCCTTGTTTTTGGTTTTGGTTTTCTTTCTGTCTACGCTCATTTTTTTTCTTCCACAGCACGTGTATTTTTAGGTCAAAGTTGGTACCTAATTCTCATTGCCACCCACTGACTTCTGGGAAGATGCATCAACATCTTATCCATTGCATGTGCAGGCACAACAAGTTGAGAATCTTCCGCACCTAATAAAGCAGGTCATATTTAAGTTAGATAGTGGTGTTGCATGCTCCTACTGTCTGTGATGGAGCTCCATGTTATTTTCTAGTCTTCTATTCATTTTTCAGTCAAAAGAATATCCAAGGAATGTGCCAGAAAACCCGGCAAGAAAATTTGTAGAAAAGGAGGTATGTATAAAGTGGACAAAAAAAAAAAAAATGGGGGAAAGATCGAAACCTTGCAAAGGAAGAACGACTAATACAGCTCAAAGAGGCTGATTTGATGATGCTGTGAAGTGAACCGTTAGGGACTGTCTTGCCCTAACGAAGCCAGAAAGGTATTTAAAGAGAGGACCGTGTAAAACAGATGAGAAGATAACATTTGTAGAGCCTGAACTCAGTTGCACCTGATCATCTCTCTTGCACTAGCTCACGCTGACCTTATTGGCAGCTTCTCTGTCTTGGCCTCGTGGTGTAGAGGAGTGTCTGTCACTCGTACGTAGATACAGTATGTTGTATATGCATGCACAGGAGGTAGCTCATATGCCTGGGGCCTGGTACTATTGCCGTTGAAGTCGCTGGTACGGCTCCACAGCTCTATATTCAGTCGTATAGCATAATGACTACAAAGTATTGTAGCAAAGCAGAGCTGAAAATCTGCATTGTCTTTCTACGTGATACACCCTATTTTCTTGGAACGGTGTTAACTTTCCTGAAACGTAGATGTGAAACACTTTTTTTCCCGTTTACACGCTTCTAAAAGTGAGCGGTGATTTCCTTTATTATGTGATTACAGCTCTCTCTGTAAAGCCGAAAATCTCTTAATAGGGGTGTAGAGAAATGTTAAAATATTGTGACATGGCACTTTGGAAACTAGGCTGCTTTTGGAAGCTTTGGAAACTTGGCTTCTACCCTTCTCGTGTTAGATAGTACGGGAGAATTTGCAGATTTCTTTGTGAACATTTGCAAGTTCCCAATGCAATTGATATGCGATAGAGAAGGTATATTTTGGTACTGATTTAAAGCAGGTATTTGGTACTAGTTTAAAGTACTAATTTTGTACTACTTTACACATTTGTTTTACGTCAAATGATTTTTCTTTACTGTTTTCTTTAAAATGAAGTGTTATTTAATAGCTGGACTACGTTTGAATCTAGAATACTTTTTAGGGTAAACAAAGAGTAGTGTGGACATACACGGTTGCCTGTTAGCTGTAATCCATACTTTTTATATCAGTTGCTATGGGTCCCTGTTATTCCAGAACAAATACATTTTAGGAAAGTGTCACGGCAGGAAATTGTTTAGAGTTGGGCAGAGTTCAACTCTGTAAACTCTGTATTAGGTTTTTAAGGCGATGACTAGGCATCTAAATGAAGCTGGCCTTATTTTCCAAGGTTTTTGCTCTTACAGCTTGTGCTGACTGCTAGGTGTAGCTAGTTGTTAATTATTAATTGTTAATTGTAGTTGCTCAACGTCTGCTTTTTTAGATGTCTAAATCCACTTTCAGTGACTTAAGGCTGAAAATTTGTTTTTAAAGTGTCGGGCTCTAAGGCAACTTTTGAGGTAATGTTTTCTCTATTAGGGAATTTTTGCTCAGTGCTGTAAAAGTACAGTTGTTTAAGCTGGATTCCCAAAGTTTGAAGCAAAGATAAGCAGGCTACTGTGAGCAACGTCACTTCTTCACACATCATTCAAGTTAGAATAACTGCTGTCATTTATATGCATTCAATTAATGTGCAGTGCTGCAGCAGTTATTACGCAGTTCATCAAGCGTGTGTAATTAGCTGAGCAACTTTCACTTCCTATCACCCAGACACTGACTCACAAAGTCATGAAGATGCAGATCTCCATCATTGTTCTCAGAAAGCATCTTTTCCTATGAGAGAATATTAAAAAAAAATAAAAATCAGAAAAATAGCAAAAATAAAGGGAGGGAAAGCCCCGCAGATGAGAAAGTCATGTTTATTGTCCTGTGAGCCTGAAGAAGAATAAAGAGAGAGTGACTTAAAATTCAGCACATACCTTTCCAGTTAAATTAGTTGCACACACAGCACAAAAAAAACCAGAGAAGCTTACCTTTTCCCGTTGACAAGTGCAGAGAGCTCCTGAATACCTTCAGCCTGGGCAGTTGGCATAGCTGTAGTAATCTCTGTTATCAGAGTAACTCATGCTCTACTTGGCTGTATATGACTGAAGATTGTCCTTGGCTTAGGTTGCCCCCCATACCTAGTACTAAAAGGAATCGTGTTGTAGAACAAAGTTGCGATAAAATCACAGCAGCTTGGAAACAGCATTGGTTTTGTATGAGAAAGAACAAAGGCCCAATATTCTCTCTTTTGCTGGATTTTTAGGTTGCAGTCATTTCAGTACATTTAGTGATGAAAATTACTGGAAGGAGAAAATACAAAAATAAGAGGCAGGCTTTTACACTGTCTTTTTAATTAATAAAGGATATCTAAATTCGAAGTGACTGAGCCAACAACCGTATGCTATCGTATATATTGTTTGATTCTTTCTTATTACATGAACTAGATTGAATTAGGTAAATAAATTAGTATCTATACTTAATTGTCAGCTGAGAGACATGAGAAGATTCAAGATTTTGAAGAACAGGGAGTAATCTGATGAGAAATGAAAGAAATTCTACCCATGAGTCATGGCAGAGATCGTAACGAGCATTATAACCGTTACCACCTGTTGGTGGGATTTGGATATGCACACTGCAGACACTACAAAATGGGAGGCCGGAGTTGGGTGAAAAGGAATGAGACAATATAGCATGCTTTTTGCTAAAGATAGATGCCTGTATTTCAGTATACTTCATCTTCAATTTGCTGATTCACTAGATAAAGAAACATCATCTGGTTTTGTGCCTTTTGCTTCAGGTACGTGAAGGTCAGAGGTTACTAATGCTGTGATGGGCATGCATACAAGCAGAAACCTCTCTGTTTGCTAGCGCTGGTTTTAGGAAATCTGTGCAAAGGCATCTAATTAATTTTGTGGGTTTTTTTTAGAGGCTAGACTCCGTAATTCTAAATTTTAATAGAACCTAGGTTATATTGTAGGTAACACCATTTTACTGACTGATATTAATTATATTGTCGATTGCAGGGTATTTCCTGAATTTCCTGACAAACTTTTGCATCATTTCTAGGGGATACCTGAGTGATTTTGCACTCTGTTTGGTATTTCAGATCTCTATTTTACATTATAGTCAAAGCACAAATATTTTACTTGTGATCCAGAACGGCAGGGTGACTTACCATCTCTTAGGAGGACTGTACGTCCTGCTTTAGCTGCATGCCTCTGCTTTTTTAATACTGTCTATTAATTTCTTTGCATTGCAACAGTTTGCACCATGAATTTCCTACTTTAATGACAACTACATAAAGAAAAATTTAACGTGATCACTAATACGACCACTGAAATACGACCAGGTTTTGTGTGTTCTGCACTTGGGATGGTAGTATGCTCTTTCTTATGAACCTGTACTAAGGCCTTCATATTGCCTGAAGATAGCTGAATGTGGAAATGTGAAGGTGTAGTTTTTGCAGAGGATACGATTAGTATTTGTAGGAGAATTGGGAGTAGAATAAGGAAAGAAATCACTTGATCTTTACTTTTAGGTTTAGGAATTATCAGTGGCTAAGAGACCGCCCAGTTTCAGTGCCTTCTTCACATGTGGATTCTGTTTCTTATTCTAGTCGGTGCAGTGAATAAATTTTAAATGCAAAGAATCATGATCTGAACTACCTCATTTGAGAGTGTAGGATTAGACAGCTCTATTAATATTTATGCCTCCTAATGGGCTACTTGATTTTCAGAGCAAGGCTCCCAACACCATGCTTCCTGGGTTATGGCTGTGGTACTGTGGTCACATAGGAACGTATATACATACATCCAAATACATTCTTGGAAATGAAACACAAATCACAGTGCTGTAATCTCATCCTGTTTTGATCATTCAATGTTTTCAATAGAGAATCTGTTACAACAGTTGTGATTCGTAAATGGCACTGATAACTTTAAGGCTTTTAAGCTTAGCAGTATGAAATATTTTTTACAGATCTAAGCAGAAATGGAAAGAGTACAGTTTAGCCTGTTACCTTGTGTTTCTCTTGGGAGTTTGCTCCAAGACTCCATTTAGCTTTCCTAGAACTGTTTTATTTATCACATTTTGGAAAGGAGGAATTAATGCAACATGTGCAGTTCCTATGGACTTCATTAAATGAAATTCTTTCTGTATACCTGTTTCAGCTCTGAAATCAACCAGAAAAGGACAAGCTGAGACCTGCTAAAATGTGTATTTCCACTGATCAAATATCAGTTTGTCAATCGAGTATCAGATTCTTTTTTTCTAAATATGTAAAGTAGAAAATAATATCAAAGTAGCGGACTTGTAGATGGTATGTTGTCAAAAAATGATTGAAATATTCTATCTCCATGGCCATATAAGTGAAAAGTATGAAATGTAAGGTGTGAACCTCCATCACTGCAGACTGAGCTATGTCAAAATATGTTGCATTGCCAGTAGGCTAAGAACATGCATTTGCAGACCATTACCAGGGCTTATGGTGAGTGAGAGGTGCGTCAAAGCCCACAGAGCTACCTTAGGGCATATTTTGGTGTACATCAACCGTTACAAAGGGTGTATATCTTCATTAGGCCAGTTTGAAAATTCATAATGAATTATTTGCCTGTAGTATATTTGTGTCAGTAGTTGCCTGCACACATTTGAAGTTTTGCCCCCATTCACCTTTTCTGGCTCCTGGCTGAAGAGCCCTCATCCTCATTCTGGCCTCGTGAGGCCGGATTTCATCCCTGCACTATCAGCAGGCACAAATGTAGCCCATAATCCTGAACTCCAGTGCTATGTATTGAGACACCAAGATTGTTCTATTTTTCTGTTCCTTTTTGAAGCACTGTATTCTTGTCTTCCATTCCTCAGATACCACTGCAGCATTTCCTATTATACTAGTAATACACGGAAGAAGATAATGAAGCAAACATTGTCTTGTACGGACCTTTTCATCCTTTCACAATCTAAAGCTGTTAGTGTCAGTTAGCTGCATTTTTCAAAGACGTGCAGTAGGTTTATGTCATATTTGAAATAAAATAAAATGCTTAAACTCTGATGTACTTTCTACAGTTCTCTTTCTGGGTGAGCCAATGCTTGGCAATAGAAAACT